ACACACACACACACACACACACACACACACACACACACACACACACATATATTGTAATTTTTGTGTAAGATATCATGGCGTACCTAAGTAGTGGCTTCGAGGGAACATGCTGTATACGATATTTAAGTTGTATAGGCCCTTACAAAAGTGTATCATTTCTCCTTGTAACAATCGGGAAAACCTAACAACTTGTTAGTATTCTTTAAGAAAAATAAGTGTCAGTACACAATATGTAGCGTTTAGTTTCCTCTTTCTAATTTTTTGTAACTTACTCAAACTAAGTACGCAAATTCGTGACTAGTCATAAGCACTCCGTGATAACTGGTTTTTTGACGAATGAACATTTACTATAATTATGAATGATAGTAAATGTTCATTCATAATGATAGTAAATGTTCATTCGTCAATGAATGAATGAACATATAATATCATTGCGGTGTTTAGATCGTTTTTAATTCCGAAATAAAAAAAATGGTAATCTGAGATTTATTATGAACTCTCCTGTCGGAATTTGAGAAATATAGAGTTAGCACTGTAGTCCTACGACACAATTAATTTAAGTTTCTATTCTTATGGTTATTATTATTTCTTAACGTGCATTTTTCACAATTTGTGTATGTTACGGATAATGTTAGAAACCCGTATAATTCTGTCTTTTGTCTTTTGTAACATATTGTGCACTTCAAGAATAATAAACAATAATTTAACAATTTAAACTAAATTGTTTTTTAAGTAAATACTATATTTATCTTACTTTTGAATATTGTAAATGAAAATGAAATATGAAAATAAGTTACTTTTAAATTAAATTATATTTTTTAAGTGGCTTTTTGGCGATTTAATTTTAAAATAATTAGAAACTGAACATTCCTCAGTTGATGTTATGTAATGCTTTACACTCTGTTGGATGGATAGTATCCAATTTAGATAATATAGTGATTACGAAAATGAATGAATGGTGATTATTACAACACATTGTTTTATTTATTCCTTACTTTTTTATATAAATTTTTCATTTAACAATAAAAAAAAATTGTGTTTTGACGACGTAAATATGGTATCTACAGGAGATAATTAATATTTTATATAATAGTTAATATTTTTTCAATTTAAATTAAGTATAGGCAATCATTTGACCACAATTTACGCAAATGGTAAATGAGTATGTAGTCATTAGTAGTTGGTCATGGTCACTTAAAACACGCTTTTTCACTCTCGCTTAGAAACGGCCACTCTTCTTTTTATGAGAGATCAAAGCATTAAGGAGGAGAAAGCAAAGCGCTTCGTGCTCATAGATGGCGGGTAAATCTACACCATAAAGTGATTCACATTCCAGTTCCCCAAAGACGGAAAGTGGAAGACGCAAAGTAAATGTTTATTTATTAAAAGCTAATTTAAATATAAAAAAAATTAAAGTTATTATTTATGCAACATTTACCTACAAAGATTTTTTCTAACTTGCGAGTACTTGCCTACAATTACACAGACAAGTTAGCATTACTATGAAGACTCTTCACAGCACATTTATACATTGTGAAAAAGTGCGTTAGGGCTGGGTTCCAGCCTTACCTACTAAAATCAAATGGTTGAGGTATTTACTAATAACGGCCTTATAAAAAATAAGATACACCTAGGGATATTGCCTAAAGAATTTGCTAATTAGTTACACGATATAATTTACTTTACTCCCGAATTTAAATCCCGTAATCAGTATATAATAAAAGCCTGAAACGTGTTTTATAAGAATAAAATATTGAACTTTGCGCATAATTTTTATATAGAGATATTTCTCTTTAAATATTTCACAGAATCTACAAAATTGTGGTTTTCAACTGTAGGGCTAGCACGATAAGGCGTGACTTGTGCGAGAGCGACAAAAGCCGCGAGATCTCGCGCCGCATATTATTATTTTATTTATATTAATTGTCAGCGCGCGAGTTGCAGGAGGTGAGGGGCAGTCCTACACACTTTCCTAAAATGAAGGATCGCGCTAGATGCTATACATTATGTCATGCAGTTGATAAATGCATTTCCGAAGGCAATGTTGCTTTTTAATGCACAACCATTTCTGAGCAAGCGTAATGACCCCCAGTCAGAGGAGACAAAAAATCTGAACTAAGAAAATCTGTTGTGGCCTAGTCTCCGAATTATAATTTGAAGTCATTGCAATAAATTATTGCAGGTCGCTGTGATATAGGACTGCGTATGTGGTGTATAAACCAACCTAATCTTAGTAATACATTATTAAATTAGTAATGCGCTGTTACTTGGTTGAACTGCACATACATTTTAAAGAAAGCATATTTGTAAATTGTCATTCTGATATAGACTATTTGTATTGTCCATTAAAGCATTGTATAGTTTTACATGCTCATGATAATGTCATTGAATTCTTTTAAAAATGTAGTTTACGGATCGAAAGATTTTTTCCTAAGTGCAAAGTTTTAATTAATAATTATAAGAAACTAGTGGAGTAATTTCAACAAAAATAATTGAATATAAATTCAATAAATATTAAATTACAGTTAATAACGTAATCTCTAGCCAGGGCTGGTAGCTGTAAAGGTATGTAACTGGGTGACGAAATACTTTAACAGATTTCTCGTAGATGTCGGCTAAAGACGCTGAAAACCAAAAATACAACGATCCGACAACAAGCACATAGAAAACGTGAGGTCCGCTAGTTCGTTCTGTGGCTTAGTTGGCATAGCATCTGGCACGGTTTGCTAGGAGACGCCGATTCGAATCCAGCCAAATCGAATGATTTTTTTCTAAGTAGTAAGTGTTCGATCGTTGTATTAATAATTATAACAAGCGTAGGTACTTATTTTCATATTCGAGTTCTATCGATGTAGTTAGGTGAAACAAGCTGGTTCGGACCATTAATTCCTTCTGTCGATAGTTCCTATTTACGACCTATATAGCTCAGCGGTAAATAGGGGGTGCTAGAACTGGTTCTGCTCGGGAGTGTTCTGGATAGTGCCCCAAAATTAATGTCATAGCTCTGGTACTCGTAGCAGAGAATAAAAAATGTAACCTTATAGTACAAGGAATTACTTACTTTAATGTGTGCCGATAGAGGAAGTGTGGGTTGAACTGGTAACATTCTACCTGACTACTGCATGCTAAGGTGACGGCAGACGATAGACGTCTGTTAAATGGAATAATGGAATACTGTTAAATAATAAAAATAATAATAACGCACATACTCAACATAGCCCCGCACTAGGGAAACCCTGTGTCGCGGGTGCCATGGACACACACATAGACAACCACAAATTACACCCAAACTCACGAGTAAAATAAATGTAGGCCATACACATATTTCTCCCAGGCTGGGAGTCGAACCCAGGACCTCTGCATGGCAGTCCGGCATGGTAACCGTTCGGCCACGTAGGCAGTTTATTCATCACGGCCTTTTGAATTTTATATCGTTAATATTACTTAAATTGGATAAAGTAACAAACAGCACATAGATCAAGGCTAAATTTTGAAAAGGTCTAGTTTGGAATAACTGCTCGATTCGAATAGCACACTAGCTCGCTGCACTTTGTACAGTGTAACTAATGACGCACACAGGTAAAGGTTTTACGGTACTCGGCCGCCGCCTCTACCTGCGCAGGAGTCGCATTCCGTCACTCGCCTCCGTGACTGGCCGGCGAGACTTCGAAAGATTTTGAATTGAATTTTTAAATTCAGTAAATTTGTGTTTGTGATTGGATCTATTTTTCCCATAATGACTCCAGTATAAGGTAAGTGATAAATCTGTAATTTAATTACCTACATATAATTAAATTTATGCAAAATGGAAATGTTCTAGACTCTAGGTTCTACTGTACTTTAAATGTCCTCGATGTGATGGAAAAGGCATTATGTTCAGCCTCTTTTCTTATCGTGTAGTCATGCATTGCAACACTGTTAAATGTTTTCAGTAAGTACCGTTACGAATAAAAATACCGTTCTGAAATGTAGTTTTTATTTTATTCAACTATGCGTATTGATAGTACATAGACGTTCGAAAACGTATTTTTTTTGCCAAAATCATAGTTGATTAATCACCGTTTACGTGCTTGAGATCTAATAGTTTTTATATCGCATTCCAGACCGATGAGTAATGTACAAAAAATCTTAGACAATTTTTTTTTTCTCAATCACATTGTTAATCTGAGGCAAGTGTTTATTGATGATTGTCTGTCTATTATTAGGTTCAAACCGCATTCAACTGTTGCATTAATAGACAAATGCTATTGAAAAGGCGCGCGCCATTCGTGTCCGAGCAAATGAAAAACAAAAGGACGAAAACGAAACGAAATTTAAATCCATGTCAGTTTGAACTTCGTGCTGTTGGATATTGTTTGGTGATAAACTTATAAGACTTGGAACAAACTAGCGTGTTTTATTATAAGATTTAATAAGGAAAAGTAGATTATATTATTCACCGAGGAGATTATCATTCTCTTTAGGTTTGAAGTCACGCGTCTTGCATGTGTATCATCAGCTTATCTTATATAAGAACAGGCTTTCTAATAATACAAGTCGCGTGGGCATTTAGTGAGAGTCCGTACTTAAAAGAACGGTTTCAGGATTTCACAGTTCAGTTTAGTGCCATTTTTCACTCATTGATTGGTTGTAATCTAATTTATGACAACCTTTTTCATTTTGTTTATTTGGAAATGGATAATCGAAGTTGACCTACTTGTAGAGTCGATACTATAATTTTATTGTTCCTTAAATATTTACTACTCATATGTAAAAGCTCATTTTGGTACCATCGCTTTGATTGCTTGTATCGCAAAACAGTAATTCTTAAACAGTTTTATGACTACGAACGACTGTGTTAGATACCTAGAAAATACCCCATTTTTAGAAAGAAAACGTGTTACTTAAGTGTCATTTGGAACAATACGCTATCAGTTAGCCATTATGAACCGCTCAGGTGTTAATTACCATTTCCATGCTTTTGTTTACTATTTCACACAACGAATCGTCACGTCCTATCTTCGACGACATAACCCTTGGATTTTAAAGTCTATTGTAAAGTGCGTAAAGTCGCTTAGAATATATCATATTTGAAATCTTGTGTCATTGTAACAGGTGTTTAATGTGAATATTTTGTGTTATTGCAATTTGATGGATATACGTAATAAAATAATAAAATATTAGGTAAGTACTTTATTGAGTGCTATAAATACTTGTGAATTACAAGTATGTATTTTGTCTCACTTTGTGACATGAGCATCTTGATATAACCCATCACGCTACGACTTCACGTGACGTTTTTTATGTTTCCTTACGAAATTTTCCAACATCATTAACTCAAAGTGATTCCTAATAACTTAGTCCGCCTTAATTAAATAACCGGTTGTAGGGTTTTCGCTTTACATAATCCACTTGGAGCCACCGCTACACGTTGTATTCACGGTCTGTAACGCATTGGACTATTAAAGACACTCTCTAAGTATTAAAAACTGTTACCACTTTCGTCCGGTAGATCACCTGTGTGTTGCCTAATTTCAATGCTATAAAAAACAATATAAAACATCTTAATTATTAACATATAGAATCTAACAGCTAAAGTCGTCCTTGGATATAGAACTTATCCAGTGTCCGGCATTGAACGTTTTGAAAGCCGAGGCATAAATCGAAGAAAAGGTAAATGATTTTTGCTTAAAAGAAGTACAGTCTTAATAAGCAAATGCAAATGCTTTTATCAAAATAAGAGTTTCTTATATACCTGTTACATAGCTCAGAGGGTATTTATTTTCCGCATAGCGGAGTATAATTACCAGATACTAAAGTACGTAGTATAATTTTCCGATGTAGTACTGTGGCAGGTTCTTAAAATTACTCTGCAACAAAGTGATATCACTGGAAGTTTGATGTCATGACTCAATTGAGGATTTATTTTATTAATCAAACAAAACTCTGTCTCAACGGAAGCTGAAAAATAACTCAGCTCAAATGTAATGGTTGTTATTTTTGTCTTGTGAATGTCTTCAGAATTCGTAGATAGGTCTAGATCACTTGTACACTGTACATAATATAAAATAAGTCAACAGAAGGTGAGTTTACGTTACGATGCTCTAGCGATTGTTCGATTTTGGGATTTTGGGATGGTAGGAAAAGATTATGTGAACGGCTGGTGGAAAGTAATAGTTTATTAAAGTGTTACGATTTTTTTTTAATAATATTGGCGCTGGAAGCTGTAAAACCGCAGTTCGGAGAACGCTTGCCTCCTATGTAGAGTGGTACCGGGAAAATTTCCCCATTGGTACCCGGAAGTAAAGAGATATATTCTATAAAATAAAATCGAGTGGTATTGAAATGATGATTATGGATTTAATTACTTTTGTAGGATACGCTATGTACATTTCATTAAAATATAATATATATATAATAGATAGTGAATATAGATGCACCAGGGAATCCAGTATCGCGAGTGCCATGGACACACACATAGACAACACACAATGTAATGTGTAAATTATCTATGTCTAGATTAAACATAATGTTTAATATAGATAATAAATTTGTACTAAACTTCAACGAGACCTGCACCCTGGGGTATCGTGCCTAGGAGGCTGGTAGCATAACCCTCTTGGATTGCTAAATTGGACTGAAACTTCTTTAGTTTTCGTGGTTTTTCGCTTGTGGCCTCTATGAACATGGAGTTTCCATCGCTAAATTTTTTTTAAGTTTTGATATTCTCTGTTTTTAGATTAGTATTTAGATCCTTTATTTTCAGTCGATAATTGAATGGTGACCGAATCATATGGAATGAAAATCAAAAGCAAAAACCTGTCCGAGAGTGAAATGGCGCTACTCAACTACTGATGCTTACGATTTGCAAAGATATTAGGTACGATTATAATCCTTCAGGTGCACAACATGATGCTGTTTTATTATTTTTATACTTCATTGTAGTAAAGTCTTATTATGTATAAAAGGTCAGGTGAGGTAAGAGGAACATATTTTCGAGATAAATGTTATGAGCTCGGAGGAATAAATAGTGTCTTATACGAATTTCGAAATGTATTAATCTTGCCTGGTTTATCAGCTTTCCATGTTTTAACAATCATTACGCTAAAATTAATACTTACGATGTATCTGACAAAAACGTTCAGGTTGTGGTAACGTTTCTCTTCCCCCAAAAAACGGGGTAAGAGGAATTGTCATCGTATTTCATATAAATGCAATGTATAGGTCAATGAATGTATATTTAAATATATCCGTAATTAATTCCTAAGTAAAACTATTTCAATCGTATTTAATCTTAAAACCATTGAAATAACGCATACTTATCCCAAAAAAGGTGAAAAATTAATTTTGGGGCAAGAGAAACATAGTAAGTAACACATTAAGTAACTTAAGTACTTTTTAAACATCGTCATAATAGAAAAACAACTTTTGGCCCAAAAATTAATTTACACTTCTAACAAAATTTATTCTTCTCTAGTCACCAAAACCACTCTACTTTGAAAACCGTTCCACTAAATCAATTGAAATTTGGTATAGAAGTGAAGAAAATTGAACTCTTTGGCTGTAGAATACAGTTTGTTTCATCTGACTGTCACAATTAAGAATCAGTTACGCGGTCGACGATTTTCATCACTTGAAGAGGCTGCCGAAGAGTATGAAAAATATGTTTCTGAGATTGTCACGGAGGAGTGGCATAAATGTTTTCAAAATTGGTTCATTCGTATGAAAAAGTGCATTAACGCGGAGAATATTGTGAGAAACAAATAAATTCATTTCTGAATTATTCATTCCGGAAACTTATAGTGCGCGCCACGTATAGTGCCTAAAATCACTCTAAAATCAATGTCACTTTGACAGATTACTTTATTTTTCACGCCTGATTTTCAGACCTCAGCAAATTCTATCACACTGAAAGTTTCTCTGAACTCTGCTATACCCTTTTCCAAGTGCTAAATAACCTTTATTTCATAAATATCACTTTCTACATATTATTTTATTGTATTTTTTAGGTTTTGGCTTCTGTCCCCGTTGCGTAGTTTCATATTTATATTAGTCGCCATTGCATGCGAAAAATTTTGTTTAATTTCGTGATATTATTTTGATTTGTTGACACTGATAGATAGATTTGTCTCACGAGAAACGAGAAATCCCTAGGTGAACCACGGAAGGAAATAATTGCCCATGCTTCATACAGGTGGACATATTGAACAAAGGGAAGAAATAATTGCCCGAGGTCCACTCAGGTGAACCAGGCAGGTGGTCCACTGGTAAGAAGTGATTTGTTATTCTTCTATAATCTATTTGCAATAGATTATCCTAGAAATTATGGGTTGCGTATTTCTCGAGCCATTTGGTATCTTAAAGCTTGCTCATGTATAATAACGGAAAACTTACAACCGCAATAGTATCTCACTTATCTACGTAATAATAATAATATGGTTTTTAGTAATCAAGTATTTACCATTTCATTTCTTTGCCCATTTCACCCATTGCCATTGCGATCACAATATTAACACACAGAACGCAGATATTTCTACAAATTGCGTAGAAAAAGAACACAATACCACGCAAAGAGCTTTTTTGTCACTACTTCAGCGTATTTATAATGCTTTAAAGATATAAACAAATATCTTGCAGGTTTCATGGAACCATTCGCCAAAATATACAGCTATTGTAATCCTTTATTATCTATCTCCTTTGGTAAAAAGAAAACATCTTATAGGTTTCATACAACCTTCGGCAAAAAATTATTTCTTTACCTACTCCGAAAGCT